ATGTTTTTGCCATTTGTGAATAATGGCTCTCATTGTGGTTCGCTGGAGTCCCAAAGCTTTAGAAATGGCTTTATAACCTTTTCCAGACTTACTTTCTTTCTCATTTGTTTCTGAATTTCTTTGGATCTCGGCATGATGTCTAGCTTTTGAGGATCTTTTGGTCTACTTCACTTTGTCAGGCAGGTCCTATTTAAGAGATTTCTTGATTGCGAACAGGTGTGGCAGTAATCAGGCCTGGGTGTGGCTAGAGAAATTGAACTGAGGTGTGATAAACCACAGTTTTAACAGGGGGGCAAACACTTCTTCACACAGGGCCATGTAGTTTTGGATTTAGTTTTCCCTTAATAATAAAAACCTTCATTTAAAAAATGCATGTTGTGTTCACTTTTGTTATCTTTTACTAATATTTAAATTTGTTTGATGATCTGAAATATTAAAGTGTGACAAACATGCAAAAAAATAAGAAATCAGGAATGGGGCCAACACTTTTCACACCACTGTATGTCATAAAAAGATAATGTCTTAGTCAAATACTAATACATGAAATGTGTGTGTGTGTGTGTGTATGTCATTTTTATGTTATAAATTTAAAAATCATTTTTTTATTTATAATTATTTATATTTATTCCTATATATTTAAATACATAAATGTAGATAAATACATACAATACAGATACATAATGTAATATTTAATATTTATAAATGTCATAAAATATTATTTGTTTGTCAAATACTAATACACACACACACACACACACACACATATATATATATATATATATAGTGTGTGTGTGTGTATATTATTTTATATGTATATTATAAATTAAAAAATGTAAGTATATAAGAAAGAAATAATACATTATATAAAATAACATTTGTAATTATTGATTTTTTCTTATATAGTTAAATACATAAATTATTTGTATAATGTATAATTATTTATGAATATATTTCAGAAAGAAATTCTGTTGTTTTTTAATTCATTAACAAAATGCAATATACAATGCAATTGCATTGGGGTGTAATTGTCTTGATAATTTCTCTTTCTTTCTTTCTTTCTTTCTTTCTTTCTTTCTTTCTTTCTTTCTTTCTTTCTTTCTCTCTCTCTCTCTCTTTCTTTCTCTCGGTGTCTGCATTTTGTGTGATCTCAGACCATATTTGAGCTTTTTGCCGTATTCTCTTCTCTTTGCACCATCTGTGTGTTTATACTAACACAGTCTGAGTTTGGCATACTGGGACGAGTCTCTTCACTAATGAGACACTGTGTGTTTTGTTTCTGTCCTGTTATTGGAGATCATGCTAGTTTGTGTTGTGTGTGTTTGTTTGAGAGTGTCATATTGTACTTATGTGTGTGTGATGTGTGACTGCCAATGGGAGCATATTGAATTGGACGGGCTCTTGCTCGCTCTGGTTCAGTGGTGTGAGTGTGTTTTGCCCAGTTCATCTAGATCTCTTGGCCCAACCCAGACAGCAGACCCTCCTGCCTGCTGTTACTTCTTCCTCCATCTCAACACACACACACACACACAGACACACACACACACACAGTCTAAGGTATATTATTTTCTCCACATTTTGACCTAATTTCTTCTCCTGAAAGCTAAAGTCCATGAGTCACTCCAGCATTTCACACTTTACTGAATACAAATGTTTACAGATTAAATTTAAACCGGTTTTGTTAATAATAGCCTACTGCATCTCAATAAGGGAGGTTTAGCACTGGCTGTTTATCTAAATGCTGTTTTTCTTTTCCTTTGAACATATCGAGGGCATTTAAAATCCAAAAATTAAAAATAAGAAAGATTATTTATTGGTTCTAGTCACTTTGCTTTGCCTTATAAAATGTAGCCTATACAGTGGGGCAAAAAAGTATTTAGTCAGCCACATATTGTGCAAGTTCTCCCACTTAAAAAGATGAGAGAGGCCTGTAATTTTCATCATAGGTATACCTCAACTATGAAAATGTTATTTCTTTTTAGTACTGAACTGTGTAAAAAAGTAATATAAGTTGCTAAATGTGTCATTTTGATTGGTGATCTTGTAAAGCAATTTAAGGCTTATAAATGCTTGATTTAAAAAAAAAAAAAGAATGTCAAGCCTAAATGCATTTATTTATTTGTTTGTTTGTTTATTTGGGTGCGTTGAATGAGCTAGTAAAGGAAAAGCAGAAATCTGTCCAACATACATCAAATATAACCAATTGTTCAATATATATATTCAGTATTTTTTTATTTGTTTAATACTTTCTGGTTTAGGTGCTTCCAAACTTTTGACAAAATTGATCTGATTTTGTCTTTTTAATGCTGTTATTGACCTTCCTGGCATTTAGGGGGCAGTATTTGTGTTCTGACAGAAATGCATTATATATTAGTCTTCATCACATCCTAAGACAGAAAGTAAACCATGAACATCTTAATTTGTGTGTGTGTGTGTGTGTGTACTGACTTTAAATTGGAACTGTGTTCTTGTTTTATGAGATAAGTATCTGGCATAACTGTGTGTATTTTATATCAAACATGCTAATGACTTTTTCAAGGACTTTATAATTGTATTCCAAAAATAAAAAGTATCACAGTTTTAAAACTAGGTTACGCTAATGTCCCTTCCCTCTCCAATCGCCAGCCCATTCCATGCAATGGTTTCTCACAGACGCCAGTTCTGTCCCAGTTCACTCAAGTTGACGTAAAACAGTGCTTGTGTTTTAGCCATTATCTGGTAACAGGGGAACGTACAGCTTCAGATGCGGTGTTAGAGGCCAGAGCCCTTACTAAAGCCTCCGCCAGCTCTGTGCCTGTGTGTGTGTGTGTGTGTGTGTGTGTGTGTGTGTGTGTGTGTGTGTGTGTGTGTGTGAGGCGCTC